GTCATTTTGTCAAATTTTCGATTTTTTAATTTTTCAAATTAGACTTATAAACTCTCAATTTATAGATTATTTCAATTAATCGATGTTTTGATTTTCCCAATTCTTGACCTTCGATTGTTTCGATTTTTCTGTTCTTTAATTCTTTAATTTTTTTAATTTTTCAGGTTTTTGATTTTCCAATTTTTCGGTTTTTTAAGGTTTCTATTTTTTAACTTGACTTTTTTGATTTTTCGATTTTTCAGTTTTTAGAATTTTCAGTTTTAGGATTTTTCAATATTTCAATTCTTCGGCTTTTCTATTTTTTGGATTTTTAAATTTTAGGTTTTTCAATCTTTTGAAATTTTAATTTTTCAATATCTCTTAATCTTTGTATTTTTCGACTTCCTGGTTTTAGGTGTTCTGTTTTTCAATTTTTCAATTTTTTATTTTGGCCTATTTCGGTTTCTCAGTTTTTCCAGTTTTCCATTTTTTCGTTTTTTGATTTTTCCGCTTTTCCAATTTTTCAACTTTTAACTTTTTGTTTGTCGATTTCTCTATTTTTCGATTTTTCGACTTCATCACTTTTCGATTTCTTGTTCTTTTGATCTTTCAATGTCTCAATTTTTCAATTTTTCGAATTTTTAAGTTTTTTCATTTCTTGAGTTATCGAGATTTGTATTTTTCGATCGATTGTCAGTTTCTCAATTTATAAACTGTTTAATTTTTAACTTTTCGATTTTTCGATTTTGACCTATTTCGGTTTCTCAGTTGTTTCAACTTTCAAAGGATATGTCATCTGCCAAAATAAGTCTTATCTTAGCAAGTACTAGTAACGCCCACCCACCCCCTATTTTCTCAGAGGATATGTCATCTGCCAAAATAAGTTTTATCTTAGCAAGTACTAGCCCCGCCCACCCACCCTCTATTTTCTCAGAGGATATGTCATCTGCCAAAATAAGTTTTATCTTAGCAAGTACTAGCCCCGCCCACCCACCCTCTATTTTCTCAGAGGATGTGTCATCTGCCAAAATAAGTCTTATCTTAGCAAGTACTAGCCCCGCCCACCCGCCCTCGATTGTCTTAAAAGGTATGTCATTTGCCAAAATGCTAGTATTTGCTAAGGTAAGACTGATTTTGGCAAATGGCAATCCTTGGAGAAAATAGGCTCTAGTACCTGCTAAGATAAGAATGATTTTGGCAAATGACATAATCCTTTGAGAAAATAGGGGGTGGGTGGGCGGGGCTAGTACTTGCTAAGATAAAGCTGATTTTGGCAAATGAGATACTCTCTAAGAAAAGAAAGGGTGGGTGGGCGGGGCTAGTACCTGCTAAGATAAAAATGACATGTACACTAAGAAAAGAGAAGGTGGAAGGGTGGGGCTAATACCTGTTAAGAAAAACTGATTTTGGCAAATAACATAATCCTTTGAAAAAAAAGGGGTGGGCGGGCGGGGCTTGCACTTGCTAAGTTAAAACTGATTTTGGCAAATGCCATATCCTCTAAGAAAATAGAGGGCGGGTGGGCGGGGCTAGTCCTTACTAAGATAAGTAAGTATAATTTGGGCAAATGACATACACTCAGAAAATAGGGGACAAATCTAAAAATATATGAATAATACGTTGATAAATTACAAGTATAGACTGATAATATTTTGCACATTTTAGATAGGATTTATTCGGCAAAATTTTGAGGTGACGTCAAGATTAATCGAAGCAAAATCAGTATTATTTCAGCTAAGTACTAGTCCCGCCCACCCACCCCCTATTTTCTCAGAGAATATGTCATCTGCCAAAATAAGTTTTCTTTTAGCAAGTACTTGCCCCGCCCACCCACCCCGTATTTTCTCATAGGATGTCATCTGCCAAAATAAGTCTTATCTTAGCAAGTACTAGCCCCGCCCACCCACCCCCTATTTTCTCATAGGATGTCATCTGCCAAAATAAGTCTTATCTTAGCAAGTACTAATCCCCTCCCACCCACCCCCTATTTTTCAGAGGATGTCATCTGCCAAAATAAGTCTTATATTAGCAAGCACTAGAGCCCCGCCCACCCACCCCCTATTTTCTCAGAGGATATGTTATTTGCCAAAATAAGTCTTATCCTAGCAAGTACTAGCCCCGCCCACCCGCCCGCTATTGTCTTAAAAGTCAAAATGCTAGTATTTGCTAAGGTAAGACTGACTTTGGCAAATGACAATCCTCGGGGAAAATAGGGGGTGGGTGGGCGGGGCTAGTACTTGCTATGATAAAACTGATTTTGGCAAATGTCATATCTTCTAAGAAAATAGAGGGCGGGTGGGCGGGTCTAGTACCTGCTAAGATAACATTGATTTTGGCAAATGACATAATCCTTTGAGAAAATAGGTGGTGGGTGGGCGGGGCTAGTACTTGCTAAGATAAAACTGATTCTGGCAAATGAGATACCCTCTAAGAAAATAGGGGGTGGGTGGGCGGGGCTAGTACTAGCTAAGATGAAACTGATTTTGGCAAATAAAATGCCCTCAAGAAAATAAACGGCGGGTGGGCGGGGCTAGTCCTTGCTAAGATAAGACTAATTTTGAAAAATCAGGAAATCAGATATTCGAAAAGTTGAAGGTCGAAAAATCGAAAAGACGAAAAATCCGAAAATCGAAAACTCGAACAGTCGGAAAATCGAGAATTCAATAGGTCACAAAATTCCAAAAATCAATGGAAGAACCGAAAATTCGAAAAATTAAAAATCGAGAACTCTAAAAGTCGGAAATAGAAGAATCGATCAAAAGTTGAAAAATCGAGAAATCGAAAAGTTGGAAAATCAATACTTCGAAAAGTCAAAAAAAAATCCAAAAATCGAGGAATCGAAGAGTTGAAGAATCGGAAAAGTCCAACAATTAAAAAATCGAGAAATAGAAAAGTCGGGAAGTCGAAAAATCCAAAAATCGAAAATTTGAAAAATCAATCGAAAAGTCTCGAAGTCGAAGAGTGGAAATATCGTAGTGGAAAAATCGAAAAATTCAAAAAATATGGAATCAAAAATTCAAAAAATCAAAAAATTCAAGGAGAAATCGAAAAATTGAGACGGCGAAATATTAAAAAAATTAAAAAAATCGAAAGTCGAGAAGTCGAAAGAACGAAGACTAAAAATCGAAAAATTGAAAAATCGGAAAGTAGAAAAATCCAGAAATTGAAAAGTTAAAAAATTGGGAAGTCAAAATTAGGGAAGTCGAAAAATCGAATAGTGGGAAGACTCCAAAAATTGTGCAATCGAAAAGTCGAAAAATTGAAAAATCCAAAAATTGGAAAATTGAGGTCAAAAAAATCGAAAAATCGAGAAGTCTATAAATCGAAAAAAAAAAAATTCGGGGAGTCGGAAAATACAGAAGTCGAAAACTTGAAAAATCGAAAATTCCAAAAAAATGAAAAATCTGAAAATTGAAAAATCGAAAAATTCAACAATAAAAAACTTGAAATATGGGAGGATCAAAAATCGAGAGAAACTGAAAAGTCGAAAACCCAAAAATCGAAATTATCAAGAAATCAGATATTCGAAAAGTTGAAAGGTTAAGAAACCGAAAAGTTGAAAAATTGAAAAATGAAAAATTCGAAAAGTGGAAAATTCGGAAAATTGAAGAAAATCGAAAAGTCGATACATCAAACATTTGAAAGATCCATGCGTCGAAAAATCGACAAATCGAAAGAAGGGAAATTCAAAAAACCGAAAAGTTCAAATATCGAAACTCCGAAAAGCGAAAAGTTAAAAATCGAGAAATCAAAAATTTGAAAAATCGAACATTCAAAATATCAAAGTCGAAAAATCGAAAAATTCAAAAATTTAACAAAAAATGAAAAAATGCAAACATTGAAAAATTTCAGTTGAGTAATAAAAAATTAAAAAATTGAAAAATTGAAAAATGGGAGGCTCAAAAATCGAGAGAAACTGAAAAGTCGAAAACCCAAAAATCGAAATTATCAATAAATCAGATATTCGAAAAGTTGAAAGGTTAAGAAACCGAAAAATCGAAGTTGAGGAATCGAAAAATTGAGAAGGTGAAAAAAAAAGAACGAAGAATAAAAAAATCGAAAAATTGAAAAATCAAAAGTCCAGAAATGGAGAAGTCAAAAAATCCAGAAATCAAAAAGTCGGAAATCCAAAACCTGAGAAATCGAAAAGTCGAAATGTCGGAAAATTGAGTAATCGAAAAGTCGAAAAATCGTTAAGTCAAAAGATGGAAAATTGAAAAATGAAAAATTCTAAAAGTGGAAAATTCGGAAAATTGAAAAAAATCGAAAAGGCGATACATCAAACATTTGAAAGATCGATGCGTCGAAAAGTCGAAACAAGGAAAATTCAAAAAATCGAAAAGTTCAAATATCGAAACTCCGAAAAGCGAAAAGTTAAAAATTGAGAAATCAAAAATTCGAAAAATCGAACATTCAAAATATCAAAGTCGAAAAATCGAAGAATTCAAAAATTGAACAAACAAAAATGAAAAAATCCAAACATTGAAAAATTTTAGTTGAGTAATAATAAAAAGAATAAAAAATTAAAAAAATCGAAATACCGAAAGTCCAAAAATGGAGTTATCAAAAATCGAAAATAAAATTTCGGATTTTTGGATATTTTAAGGTTTTAATAAGTGACGTACTTTTGACTGTACATTGAAAATTAAATGACATTTTTCCGAGATAATCGATACAATAAATCGATCTTTTGGAAAACCCATGCAGTTAATTATAAGAAGTAAAAACTCATTAAAACACGAACAAGATCCCATTTCGGGACGTTTTTCATTAAACATTTATCACTTTTTTACGATAAGGTCATTATTTCTGTTATTTCAAAAATGATCCATTTAATTCCGTGCAATTCTGTGAACAATGTTAAAAGAGCGTTAAATTAGATAGTGTAAAATTAATATGCTTATCCTTACCCAAAGTGACTAATCTTAATTATTCTTACTTATAAATGATACGGAATTAGTCGTATTTTGAATCTTTTACAAAAAAATGTGAAAGTCATGCTAAACAAAATTTCGTTTCAGGTACCAAAATGAACTACCAAAAAAAATCAAGAGCAGGGGCAAGGACGCCCACATGATCCACGAAGAGCTGGTGCAAACGATGAAGTGGAAACAGACCCGGGGCAAATACTACCCTCAACTCTCCTACCTAGTTAAAGTGAACACACCAAGAGCCGTAATGGCTGAGACCAAAAAAGCATTCAGGAAACTTCCAAATCTCGAACAAGCCATCACCGCCTTATCAAACTTAAAAGGTGTGGGAACAACGATGGCTTCAGGTATGTTCGCGCTAGAAAAACGTCAACCCTCGCCTACAAAACGCCGTTTTTGCAGCACTCCTGGCAGCAGCGTGTCCCGAGAGCGCCCCCTTCATGGCCGACGAGTGTCTGCTGGCGATTCCAGACATCGAAGGCATCGACTACACCACGAAGGAGTACCTGAAGTTCGTCAGTCACATCCAGGCCGTGGCAGAGAGGTTGAACAAAGCGGCGAAAGAAAGTAATAGGCCAGACGCGGTGTTTTGGTCGCCGCATAAAGTCGAGTTGGCGCTGTGGACGCATTACGTTGTGTCGGATCTTCAACCGGACTTGCTCTCTAGTGAGTTTCATGGGGGTTGGGGGCACGCGGGGGTGTGCAGTGAAGGTAGACGGGTTGTTCGGGTGGTATTATGTTGTAGTAGTAATTTCGGTGGTTGGCAATCTTGAGGCGAGTTGTGTACGAGAGTACGGTAATAAGACGTCATACTGGACAAGAAAGAAAATGTTTGTAAGGGTTGGATTTCGTAAACGACTTTTTGTCCTCGATTTTTTTTTTATTTTGATTTTTTGAAGTAGATTTTTTGGGTAGGCAGCAATTATTTTTTTATTTAAGTATACTTTTATTAAAAACTTTTCAGAGTAAAATTAATAATAAAAAAAATATATGAAGAGAAAAACTGAAAAACTAGAAAACTGAAAATAATTTTAAGGTGAGGTAATTGTATTTTCAGTTTTGCATTTGTTTTATTGTGAATATTAATTTTGATAATTTACTGAGAAGAGGTTTGAATATTTTAGAACTCTGATATTTTTCTAATAATTTTAAATTTTCAAACGCAGAATTTCCTTGAAAGATTTTTAGAACGTCTAGAAATTTTGAAATTCTTTTGATTTATTCTTGCTGTTTTGTAAATATTGATTTTTAAAATATAGGTACTGAGAAGTGTTTTGAAATTGGACTTCGTACAAAACAGTAAATTTTTAGATTTTTTTTATAAGAATTTAAATTTTCCAACTGTAGAATTTCTTATTGAGTTTTTCAGAAGTCCTAAAAATTTTCTGATTTTAGGTTTTCTTCCATTGTGTTTGACTTATTCTTGTTTTTGGAAAAATACTGAGCAAAGGTTAAAAATTGGACTTTGTATAAAACATATTTGTTTTTTGGTTTAATATTTTAGAATTAGACTTTTCAAAAAAAAAAAAATAAATTCAAGCGTAAAATTTTTATTGAAGTTTTTCAGAGGTGTTAAAAATTTTGAAATTCTAAATTTTTTTCCAGTTTTTTCCAGAGTTTATTTTATTTTTGTGTCGCAAATATTAATTTACTTTTAGATTTTTCTCCGAGAATTTTAATTTTTCAACTGTAGAATTTCTTCTCGAGTTTTTCAGAAGTCCTAAAGATTTTCCAAGTCTAGGTTTTCTTCCACTGTGTTTGATTTACCCTTCTTTTTTGAAAATATACAGAGGAAAGGTTTGAAAATTGGACTTTGTAGAAAACATAATTGTTTGGTTTAATATTTTAAGACTCCTATACTTTTCTAAAAATTTTAATTTTTCAAATGTAGAATTTTTTTAAAGTTTTTCAGAGGTTCAAAAATTTTGAAACTAGTTTTTTTCCACTGTGTTTAATTTATTTTTGTGTCGTAATTATTTACTTTTAAATTTTTTTCCAAGAATTTTAATTTTTCAACTATAGAATTTCTTCTAGAGTTTTTCAGAAGTCCTAAAAATTTTCCAATTCTAGGTTTTCTTCCACTGTGTTTGATTTGTTCTTGTTTTCTGAAAATATACTGAGGAAAGGTTTGAAATTGGAGTAGTTTGTATAAAACATAATTGTTTGGTTTAATATTTTAGAACTCCTAGACTTTTCTAAAAAAATTTAATTTTTCAAACTTAGAATTTTCTTTAGTTTTTCGGAGGTATACAATTTTTGAAATTCTAGTTTTTTTCACTGTGTTTAATTATTTTTGTGTCGTAAATATTAATTAACTTTTACATTTTTTTTCCTAGAATATTAATTTTTCAACTGTAGAATTTCTCCTCGAGTTTTTCAGAAGTCCTAAAATTTTCCAATTCTAGGTTTTCTTCCATTGTGTTTGATTTATTGTTTTTTGAAATTATGCTGAGGAAAGATTTGAAATTGGACTTTGTATAAAACATAATTGTTTGGTTTAATATTTTAGAACTCCTAGACTTTTCTAAAAATTTTAATTTTTCAACAATTTTTAAATTCTACTTTTTCTTCCACTGTTTGATTTATATTTGTTGTTGCGAAACAAATTTGTTTGGTTTAATATTTTGTGGTTTCTAAATTTTTTTCTAATAATATTAATTTTTCAAATGTAGAATTAATTCTCAAGTTTTTCAGAGATTTTAGAAATCTTTAAATTATAGGTTTTCTTTTACTGCGTGTAACGTATTCTTGTTTTGTTGTATTGCCAATGTTAATTTTGAAAATTTATGTTCTGAGAAGAATTTTGAAATTGGACTTTGGGTAAAGCAGAAGTTTTTTTTTTAATAATTGGGACTCGATTTTTCTCAAAAAATTTCTTCAGTAGTTTTTCAGAAGTTCTAGAAAATTTGAAATTCTAGATTTCCTTCCACTGTATTTGGTTTAATTCTATTGTATTGTGAATATTAATTTTGCACACTTAGGGAAAAAAGGTTTGGAATTGGATATGGTACAAAACAATTCCTCAAGTTTTTCAGAAGTTCCAGAAAGAAAATTTTCAATTCTAGGTTTTTTTCACTGTGTTTTAATTAATCTTTGTTGTATCGTAATTATTAATTTTGAAAATTTATCGAGTTTGTGTAATACAGATTTTTTTTGGGTTAATATTTTGGAACCTCTAGATTTTTCTAAAACTTAAATTTTCAAACACAGAATTTCCTTAAACTTTCTCAGAAGTTCTAGAATTTTTTTTTAAGTTTTCTTTATTACATTTTTTTTTTTTTTTTTTTTGTTGACTATTTTGGGACTTCTAGATTTTTTTCTAAGATTTTAATTGTCAACTGTAAATTTTTTTCTCAAATTTTTCGGATGTTCTTGAAATGTTCCAATTCTAGGTTTTCTTTCACTGTTTAATTTTGTTTTATTGTGAATATTAAGTTCGAAAATTTACAGAGAAAATGTGTTGAAATTGGACCTGTATAAAACAGAGGTTTTTTTTGGTTTAATATTTTGGGACTTCCGGATTTTTTCGAAGATTCTTAATTTTTGAATTGTAGAATTTCTTGTCAAGGTTTTCAGAAGTTTTGAAATTTTGCGTTTTCCTTCACTAAATTTGGTATAAATTTGTTGTATTGTAAATATTAATTTTGAAAATTTACTGAAGAAATTTTTGTTATTGGATTCGTTCAAAACAGATTTATTTGGTTTCATATTTTCGAATTTCTAGATAATTCTAAAAATGTTTAATTTTCGAACTTACAATTTCCTTTCAGAAGTTTTATAATTTTTGAAATTCTAGGATTTCTTTCATTGTTTAATATTGTTGTATTAATTTTGAAAATTTACATAGAAAAGGTTTGAAATTAGACATGGTACAAAACAGATTTTTTTGGTTTAATATTTTGGAATGTCTATATTTTTTCAAAGAATCTTAATTTTTCAACTATGGAATTTCTTTTCAAGTTCTCCAGAAGTTCTTAAAATTTTGAAATTTTTTGTTTTCCTTCACTGTATTTGTTTTAATTTTGTTGTATGTATTTTGAATATTATTTTGAAAATTTACAGAGAAGATGTTTGAATTGGACTTCGTACAAAACAGATTTTCATATTTTCGAATTTCTGGATTATAAAAAAAAATTTCATACATAGAATTTCCTTAAACTTTCTCAGAAGTTATTAAGTTTTTTTCACTTCAATTTGTTTTTATGTACTAATCTGGGACTTCTAGATTTTTTTCTAAGATTTTAATTGACAATTATTGAATTTCTTCTCAAATTTTTCAGAGGTTGTAGAAGTGTTTTCCAATTCTAGGTTTTCTTTCACTGTTTAATTTTGTTTTATTGTGAATATTAAGTTCGAGAATTTACAGAGAAAATGTCTTGAAATTGGACTTGTATAAAACAGATTTTTTTAGTTTAATAAATATGTTGGGACTTCTGGATTTTTTCGAGAATTCTTAATTTTTCAATTGTAGAATTTCTTTTTAAGGTTTTCAGAAGTTTCCGAAATTTTCAAATTTTACGTTTTCCTTCACTAAGTTTGGTATAATTTTGTTGTATTACAAATATTAATTTTGAAAATTTACTGAGGAGATTTTTTATATTGGACTTCGTTCAAAAAAGATTTATTTGGTTTTCATATTTTCGAAGTTCTGGATTATTCTAAAAAAAATAATTTTCGAACTTAGAATTTCCTTTCAGAAGTTCTATAAATTTTGAAACTCTAGGTTTTCTTTCATTGTTTAATATTGTTGTATTAATTTTGAAAATTTACAGAGAAAAGGTTTGAAATTAGATATGGTACAAAACAGATTTTTTTGGTTTAATATTTTGGAATTTCTAGATTTTTTCGACGAATCTTAATTTTTCAACTATTGAGTTTCTTTTCAAGTTCTCCAGAAGTTCCCGAAATTTTGAAATTTTACGTTTTCCTTCACTGTATTTGGTTTAATTTTGTTGTATCGTAAATATTGATTTTGAAAATGTTCTAACGAGATTTTTCAAATTGGACTTCGTTCAAAACAGATTTTCATATTTTCGAATTTCTAGATTATTATAAAAAAAATTTAATTTTCAAACTTAGAATTTCCTTTCAATTTATAGAGAAAATGTTTGAAATTGGATAAAAACAGATTTTTTTTGGTTTAATATTTTGGAATTTCTAGATTTTTTCGAAGAATCTCAATTTTCAATTGTAGATTTTCCTCAGAAGTCCCCGAAATGTTGAAATTTTTGGTTTTACTTCACTGTATTTAGTTATTGTAAATATTAATTTTGAAAATTTACTGAGCGGAGTTTGTTTGGTTTCATATTTTGGAATTTCTAGATTATTCTAAAAATTTTTAATTTTCAAACATATAGTTTCCTTTCAAGTTTTTTTAGAAAATCGAGAAATTTTTAAATTTTAGGTTTTCTTTCACTGTTTAATTTTCTTTTATTGCGAATATTAATTTTTAAAATTTAGAGCGAACAGATTGGAAATTGGACATGGTACAAAACAGATTTTTTTTATTTAATATTTTATATCTTCAAGAACTTTTCCCGGAGTTTTAAATTTTCAAGAATACAATCTCCTTTAAGATATCTGAAATAGATAAAACTTTTTGTAGAATTGCAAATCCAAGAGTTATTTCGTCCCAAATTTGTTTATCCCTTAATTTTTGATTTTTC